AATTGTTTTCTTTTCCTCTCCTAGCCATATTTTATCTAATTCTTGTGAGGTCATATTAAAGCTGCACAATTTTTAAATCTGCTGTGAAAAGATGATAATAGGCAGATAATAAGCAAGAACAAACACAACAATGAATGAATCAATCAATGGACATTAATACAATCACAGAGGCATGTATGATATATTAAGCTGAATCTGAAACAATACAATGCTGACAATGCAGTGGAGCTTCACAATTCTGGATTAGTGACAATTTGATCTTAAATATATTAGACATATGGCAACAACTTATGTAGGATGAAATGATTTTGAAAGGGATTGATCATAAATTAGTTTTGGTCACTTCAGGAAAGAAGTTATGATACATTTTACAGAGGAGAATATTTGCAGCTCAGGGATAAAATGAGGGAGTCTCTCAGGGGTGGGATGCTACCAGTTCTGCCCTGCTCTATAGAACTAGTAGCTCTGAAGAGCACCAGACACAGAACCGGTTCTGTGTCAGCTGTTGTTTGGCCCAAGAAGCACAAAGTCCAAGAAGCACAAAGCCGAAGACACAAGCCTAAAGATGACGAATGAGATTTTGTCGAAACGTCGCCAAAATACTTCCAATTTTACGCGGGAGAAAACCCGAATAACCAAAGATCCACATACAAATACCTGAAAAAACCTCAGAAAACAAATATATGTGTATGTATACACACACACACACACACACACACACACACACACACACACACATACATACATATACACTGTAGCCTTGATTCATCTGAATTAAGATTTAACTAACAATGCACTTCTCAATAAACCCACCCATAGGCTCTGCACTCTTCCCATATTATACCTGTGGCTTGAGGAGCTCACTGCAATTGGGGAAGGAGAGTTCAGACATAGCGTAGTATCCTGCCCAACCTGGATGTTGTTCTGAAATGCTTTGAAAATATATATTAGCCTGTTCATCCTGTCAAGACACATGACAATGATTTGAACTAGTTGATATATCAAGGGAAATAGAAGTCAGTAAACAAAAAACTGAAAACAAACATAACAATGCTTCTCACTATAAATAATGATTCAGAGCATCTCCAATTAAAGAAAGCAAACAGTACACTATATGAAATACTTCTCTTTAAGGCTTGAAAAGTCTCAGTTAGGGGAGACAATATTAGAAAAGAATATACAAATAATTTAATGATATGGGGACAATTTCTATACTCCTGTCTTGACATTGTTGAGGAACAAATACAGTACATTAAATCTAAAACCAAAAATATACTTTAGAGCAGGCAAGGGTGCATACATCAAACATATTAACCCTTTCTTATAGTAGCTGTTCAATTCCCGGAAAATATGTTTCAGTAAAGAAAGAAAGACTTCCTTAAGTCAGTGTATTTTAAATGAAGAGATGCTGACATGAGTTCCTATACCCATTCTGAAGTTCTTTTTGGCTTTGGATGCAAAAATCTGCATATCCTTCTGGAAAAAAACATGGCATGTATACATACAAAAGAGTAAAGTTCTACTTCGAGGAAACTGGAAAGCAAAAAAAAGTCCATGTTCATAAATGTCAATATCGATTGCCATTCTAAGAGCTAATTATATTTTTAGATATTAGTACACCAACATCATCATTTTCCAAATGTATCAGAGCAGTCTTTTCCCATATAGCTCATGTATGATGAATTAAGAACTGCTAACCAAAACAACTGTTGAGGAGAAAAGCAAACAAAACTAATGGAAATGCCTTTACTCTACATCAGCAACAATTTCCTGTAGTGTGATGTGGATCATAATGTGGAAAGCTAAATTACTTCTTAACAGCAATTTCTTACCCCAAAATTGAAGACTTCATTGTAGCAATAGGAGTATCTTAAGTACCAGCGTACAATGTAACTTTGAGAAGGATCACAGGCGCTTTCATTGCCACTAACTAAACAAATAAGAAAAATATGTAAGAAATACAAGAAATACTGTTACCAAAGTAACATGGATTTTGTGTCACCTTAATAACTAAAGCATTTATTACAGCTAGATGTATGCAATATCCAGATTCAAAGCAGGGAAGGTGCTTTGTAGGTATACAGCATGCAGAAACCTGCTTTATTTGTTATCGACTCCTTAAAGAAGCTGTACCAAAGGCAGATACAAGAAGCATGCTTTACTGAATCCAAAGTACATTTCTTGCTTCAGATGCAAATATTGTACATCTCTATTATGGTACAAAATTACATGAACTGTTTCATTTTACCAACTGCATGAATCTCATACCAATCAATTAATAATAAAATGCCAAGGTTATTATTATCATTATTATCAATATGTTATTACATTTTAATAGGAAAGTACAAAAACAGTCCTGTCAATTTTTTTTACAGAAATGTAAGAGGAAATAATACTTTTTTATTTCAGTTAAATTTTACAATCCAGCCTTATAAAGCTAGTCAATAGGAAGGCCAGAAAGCAAAAAGTAATTTCCAGTAATTCCTAGCGCTGAGGTATTTGAAAAGAAATAATTACTTCACAATGACATTGCTTAATTTTCTAGTCCATTTCCCCCTATGTTAGTGAGCCTCTGCATTCAAAATGACCAGGCACATATATAAACTTTTACCCAGAATTTCATATAGTTCTACTAAAAACTAACTCCCATTGAATAGATAGGACCTACTTCCATATAAGTGTTAGTCAGTCTTTATTTAGTTACAAAGATGTGTGTCTCTATTGTTACCTAGCGATCATTTGGAATTTTGCCATCCAATCTGGGGGAACTCTAATATATGATCCAAAATCCATAATATCTCTCTACTAGTGACAAATCATTTAAATACACTCATGAAGTTATACTTCATATTACACGACCATTTTTAAACAAGATCACAGGAAACAAAAAACATACTACGAAGTCAATCATTCTCACCTATGAAGCTGCCAGTCACAGCTGTTAGTGAAATGTTCGAATATTGTACTAAATGATTAGACCATGGTCTACTGGTATAGAAGCTCATCCCCATTATATTATGATTCGTTTGTGAAACTACACTGAAACTGTAATCTCAACCACAGAAAAACAGGTTGGAGATTTATAAAAAGATGTCCTCTGCAATTTTATAGGCCCAAGTCATTAAGTCATCCTAAATCACACATTGTCTCTAACATAGTCATTACGAAAGAATGGGATATTACACTTCAAGGTGCAGTATGAATGTACTTACACTTTAGGGAAATAGTAGTGTTGCTAAAGAGAATTTTTCCAAAATGAAAATATGTCTTCTATAAGAAAAAGGAAATAAAGAGAATCACTATCTAGATATGAAAGTTCATCAATATTGTGGGGGACTGTATACTTAATAGTCCTAGACAGATATGTGTTCCGCAAAATTCAAGTAGCTACTTAATTTTTAAAGCATTGACTTTTCTATTATATGGAAGACTTTAGCATTATCCACAGCTTTTAACCAACCAGTATATAAGCTAAAGATCAGCAATTTGGCGCTTATGAGTGACATTGCATACATACCTATTCCAGTTGTTATCTGTACAATTCTAAAATAAATAAACACTCTTTGTAATTGCCAGAGTCTGCAGGAATGCCAAAAGTCTTGAGATTTCAAGTAAGAATACAAAATCTTACAACATTTGGGCAACTATTGAGATTTTGATTATTGAGAAAAACATTATTAATCATGAGAAAAAGAATTTTGAGTTAAAATTGCCGGGAGAAATGTAAGTAACCAGAAATCTACAGCACTCTGATGATTTCAAGCATGGAAGATCTAAAGAACATCTTGAAAATTAAAGAAGAGTATGTAAAAGCCAGCCTGATACTCTGGGTCCCATTGGCTAAGCTTCACTAGGTTCTAGTGTTGGGCCTTTTCTGCTGTGGCCCCTCTTTATGGAACATTATTTCCCTTGAAGTGACACTAATCTCATCATCCCTTTTAACTTTCCAGAAGCCCCTGCTTGTGTCATCAGGCTGGATAGCATACAGTAAATCAAATACAAGCTTTACTGAATACCTCCCAGAGTCACTTGTCTGTAAGATGAGCAATCATATAAATATGACAAACTAATAAAGAAACAGATAAGGCTACACAGAATCATTCAATCATTCATGTGTGTTTTCTGATTATGTAGTGCTTGATGAGCCATATTTAAAACTTTATGGTTGCTACTATCAAAAACTAAGAAATATGCCTGTATGAAATATTTTCAAATATGGAAGATGATGGTATACTAAATGAAAAAGGAGGCAGAGTTCGATTAACCCTACATTTGGTTTAAAATCTCCTTTCAACTAAAAATGTATGGGTAGCTTAGACAAACCTATCACTCGCTAACAAGATTTTTCAAATGAAATCATGCCATAAGTGCTTCACTGAATTGGAATGTCTAAAGTTCTCTTATAGTACCCATTATTACACATATTGAGGTTATAATTCTATCCATACTTTCTTAGAAGTAAGCCCCACTGAAAACTGAATTATTCAGTTAAACTCTGAATAAGTCTTTTTTTTTAATTAAGAGAACTGAGAAAAATACAAGGTATATCTGATCCTTTGGTGGGAAGAGATTTTTGTAGATGCAATGTATTAAAAATGTCACCCGATTAAAACTGAAGATTTGCTAAGCATATACAAGTGCATGATCTGATTGGTACTTCGAATACCCCCAAATATGATTTTTCTGTACTGCTTGCCTAATTTGCAATGGAAGGTCCAATCAGTAAATTTTCCATAGATTTTTTTTCCACACAAACAACAATCAACGAAAGAGAAAAAAGTGCACGTTGCTTTCATCAAATGTCAATTTGAAAACATCTTAATATTCAAGTTCAAATCTTCACTCTGACCCCTTTTCTCTGCTATCCTGAGCCAATTATTCACAATGAGCCTAACATAAGTCACAAAGGTTGTAGCAAGGAAGAGGAAAATAAACTATCCGAATTGCAAAACAAATAAGGGCTCAGACAGTCTGCCAACTACCTTTTAGTTAATATTTCACCATACTAGCGGCCTGAAACCCTCTTGTTCCAGTATTTTGTTATCAGATACCAGTAATAATTACTTTCAGTATACAACTCTTTTACCACTTTTTGTGTGAGAAATTAAGATAGGGGAAACTCCCAGATTATCATAGCAGGCAGTCCCATGAATAAAACAAAAATAAATGCTAAAATCTTTCTGCAAACGTCATCAGCATTAGCACTGCTAGATTAATCTTTTCAGAAATAAAATATGAAACACACTCTCTTTATTAACAGATTTTTGGAAGAATTTTGTGACTGCCTCCTTTCTAGTCTTCGAAAATCGCAAGATCTTCTTCCTCTTTAACCAAATCTCCTACCCCACATCTCTGTATGTAATAGCGTTGAGATGAAATAATAATAATGTCTGGGAAGCTCAGGGCCTGCTTCCCCGATTATTTACTTCATTCACACGCACATGGCAGGGTTTAGAAAAATGGATAGTTCCCAACGAACCAATACAATCTCAGTTATTAAAAATCGAAACAGAGGCAAAAACCCTGTCCAGACGTGTCAAAGCGGACACCAAAACAAACGGCAAGCTTGCCCAAACTGCTTCCATCCCAGAAGGCAGCTTCCCAGGAAGATGACAGGGAAGATGGAAAGGCTCCAGGTGGCCGAGCCTAACAACCGACCCCCTGACCCTCACGGCAACCCTGCCCTGGGCAGGGGCGTCCAGCCCCTTCAGATCCAGGCCACCTGCCTTCCTCTTCGCCTTGCCCATTCGAAAGGGCGGCGTGGCGGGGTGGGCTGCCCTGCGAGCTCACCATGGGCAGCGGCACTTCCCACTTGGAGAGCTGGCTGGCTCCAGCCGGGCACGGCAGCTCAGCAAAGAGGAGTTGGAGGACCAGCAGGGTCAGTCCTACAGAGAGGCGCTCCCGCGACAGCGGCAGCATCCTCCCTGACGCGCCGGGCACCGCCATCCCTTCTCAGCGAAATCGACAAGGAAAAGAAGCCGCTCCCGAGCGCTCGCCACCCCTTCTGCTCCAATCGCCGAGGCTCCGAACTGAGGGCGGGTGATGGGGCGCCGCCGGATTGGCTCCAGCACCCAGGCGAAATGGGCGGGGAGCGGGGCTCTTCCGCAGAGCCAACGGGGCTTCCGCAAGAGTGGCGGTGGCGGGCGAGATGCTTCTTCTCTCCGCGCGGTTGGGTCGGGGAGCAAGTTCTGCAGAGGACGAGAGTGGATTACCTGTATTATGTTCCATGTTCGATTTGCTCGCCGCGGAGTACCGGGAAATGCCAGCTTTCCATCCTTACTATTTGTTCCATAAACAAGCAGAATCTCTCTACAGTGCCTCGTTTGAGAGCACGTTCAGATCCTCTAAACACTTTGTTTTTCACTTGAGCTTCATCTGTACCGTGAAGAAAAGAAAGCCATGTTCTTATGTAGAGACTGAAGGCCTCTTGCCACCACTTTTCATTTTCCAAAAGCTAAGCAGAATTGGACCTGGTTAGTATTTGGGAAAGAGAACATTGCAAAATAGCTCTTTATGCTGTGTCACCTGTAAAGTCATGGCATCAATTATTAACCAATCCATCATCCTCCACTTAGGGACAAACAACTTACTCTCTAATAAACAATTTGGTTTCAGAAAAAAACTATCCTGTAATCTGCAACTCTTACACTGCAAAAACATATGGACTATACAACTAGATCAGGACAAAGCAATAGACTCAATCTACATAGACTTCTGTGAAGCCTTTGAATCAGTGGTACATGACAAACTACTCCTACAATTAAAATCTTACGGTATCTCTGGACACCTGCATAACTGGATAGAAGCATTCCTGTCAAACAGACAACAAATGGTCAAAATTGGGAGTGTCCTATCATATTCTGTACCTGTCAACGGTGGTGTCCCCCAAGGCAGTGTTCTAGGACTAACTCTCTTCATACTCTACATAAATGACCTCTGTGATCATATTAAGAGCAACTGTGTTCTCTTCGCTGATGATATAAAGCTGTAACTACATAGCCAAAAAGGCATTAAGAGTTGTTAACTTAATCTTACGTACCTTTTTCTCTGGTAATATTACACTACTAACTAGAGCATACAAAATATTTGCTAGACCAATACTCGAATACAGCTCATCAGTCTGGAACCCATATCATGTATCTGATATTAACACAATTGAGAAAGTCCAGAAATATTTCACAAGAAGAGTTCTCCACTCCTCTACTTGTTGCAGAATACCTTAAGCCACCAGACTTGAAATTCTAGACCTAGAAAACCTAGAACTACGCCACCTTTGGTCCAATCTAAGTATAGTATATAAAATCATACATTGCAATGTCCTACCTGTCAATGAATACTTCAGCTTCAACCATAACAATACAAGAGTAAACAATAGATACAAACTCAAGGTTAACCGCACCAAACTTGATTGCAGGAAATACGACTTCAGCAACAGAGTGGTCAATGTCTGGAATACTCTACCTGACTCTGTGGTTTCTTCCCCAAACCCCAAAAAGTTTAACCTTAGACTGTCTATCATTGACCTCATCCCTATCCTAAGAGATCTGTAGGGGGTGTGCATAAACACACCAATGTGCTTACCATCCCTGTCCTATTGTTTCTTTTATTTTTCTTATATGTAGCCATGTATTCATAACTATGTTTTTACTTATACCTATTATCTTGTAAGCAATTGACAAACTAAATAAAATAAATAAAAAATAAAATATTTAATATTTGTGAGCTAGAGTGGTACATGGAAAATATCCCAGAAAAAGGGGATGGCTTTGTTGTTAGGAAAAAAAAATACATGGTGTACACAACAGCAATACGTTAACAGAAAGAGGTGATGCTCAATATTTTGTTGTGTCATTATCCACAGCTTTGCTTACCGTATCTGTTGTTGAAAATTAAAGCACATACAGCGAGTCCTCAACTTCTGACCACAATTCAACCTAAAATTTATATTGCTAAGTGAGACATTTGTTACACGAGTTTTGTCCCATTTTACAAACTTTCTTGCCACCGTTGTTAAGTGAATCACTGCAGTTGTAAAATTAGTAACACGGTTGTTAAGTGAATCTGGCTTCCGCATTGACTTTGCTTGAAAGAAGGTCACAAAAGGTAATCACATGACCCTGGGACTCTGCAACCGTCATAAGTTTGAGTCAGTTGCCAAGCATCTGAATTTTGATCATGTGACCATGGAAGTGCTGCAATAGTCGTAAGTGTGAAAAACAGCCATGTCAGTTTTTCAGTGTAATCATAACTTCAAACAGTTACTAAGCAAACTGTTGTAAGTCAAAGACTATTTGTATTTGGGTGTATCCATGAAGTCACAAGACATCAGGCAGAATCTAAAGGAAAATTATTTATAATAGACTATTCTACAACATAGCTTTGATCTGGAGCCAGAATTAAGTTTAATACTCACTCTGTGATAATTCTACAGAGAAATTTCGAACCCACATTTCCTAATGGAGGCATTCAGCTGACAAACTTCGCAATGTGCAAAGGGCTGGTTTCTTGGGGTGGCTAATCCCTAATCAAGTTTGTTGGACTGCTGCTGCTGAGTCATCTGTATAAACAGTCTGGCATGTTGTTCGTTTATTTGTTTTGTGGGGATAATGATATTAAAGATCAAGAAAAGAGGTAATTGAGTCAGTTTAAGAACCACTGTTTTAGTTCACTTTGTTTCAGTCAAGTTTTAGGTTGGGTTTCAAATGTGGAGAGTCTTGATCACACTTGTTGACAACTGGTAGAGCTGGGATCAAAGTGGTTCATCCATCCTTCCACTCCTTGATCTTTCAGAGGTTTTTGATATTGTGGGCTATGGTATCCCTCTGGACTGACTCTCGGGCACTGTTTCATAGTGATTCTCTACTTTCTTTGGGGGTGGGTAGTTCCAGTTGATGTTGGTAGGAGGAGAATTCTCTCTCTACAATGCTGCTTTGTGGAATGTCACAGGACTCAACACACTCTCCCTTCCTGCTTAATATCTACATGGAACTCCCAGGTAAGGTCATCTACTAGTCCACTTAATCTTGGAACACCAGGCTTAAAAGTGAGACTGTCAAGATCATCTCCCAGTGCCTGGAAGGTGTGCAGGCTTGGATAGGGAGTTAATCCTATCAAGACTTGAAGCACAACGTGACTCCTCTGCTTTTTATTTGGGGAATGGGTAAGTTGCACCCACTCAGTCTAAAGGTGAATAAGAATTGTAATCAAATGGTTAACAAATCCAAGCGCTGTCTATACAACAAACAGCATTCTACTGACTTTTACAAATGGTGACAAAGCTGGGTAATTAATTTCATTATTTTTTTTAATTTTTTATTGATTTTTTTCAAAACAAACATAAACAGACAAAACATACAAATATCAACCTTTCTTCCATGAGTGAGCAGTGTGTTGGTTTTTTGTGCATCCATTTCATAGTCATCAATTACAGTTACATTGTATAATAACTCATATTCTCAATCAGAAATTAAATACCCTAGTATCATTATTATTCAATCATTTGACAATAATTTTATTCATTCATATTTTGTAAGATAACTATAATTTACTTGGTATCATTTTTTATCAATTCATATAATCTTCCCAAGTCTATCCTAAAAAAATTTTATAGATATAATAAAAAAGAAAAAAAACATCTTTATATATTTATTATTTTCTAAGATTCTACGTATTTCATTATTGTGTTTTATTGTCTAGCCATTGATAAAAAGGTCCCAAATTTTATAGAATTGTTTATCCTCTTGCTCTCTAATTTCAAATGTCAATCTACTCATTTCAGCACATTCCAATATTTTCTTAATGATTTCCTCCTGCGATGGTATTTTCTCATTTTTCCAGTTTTTAGCAAATACAGTCCTAGCCGCTGTTAATACATTTACAATCAGGTATTTCAAATCTTTGCTATATGTATCAGATAAAATTCCCAATAAAAATATCTCTGGTTTCAAATCTATATGTTTTTTTGTCATTTTTTCCAACCACATGTGGATTGTAGTCCAGTATTTTCTAGCATCTGCACAAGTCCACCACATATGGTAATATGAGCCAGGTATCTGATGACATTTCCAACATTTTTTGGATTTGTTCTTGAACATTCTTGCTATTCTTGTCAGGGGAAAATGCCACCTGTAAAACATTTAATACAAATTTTCTTTATATGCTGTTGACATTGTCATTTTATAATTTTGAGACCACAATTTTTGCCATTTCTCTAAATCAATCCCATATCCAAAATTCTTCCCCCAAGCAATCATAGTTTCTTTAACTTGTTCTTCTAGTTTAGTTTCTAATAAATATCCATACAATTTTTTAATCACCTTTTCATCAGTACCTGTCAAAATCTTATCTAAGTCAGTCAATTTGTCATAGAATCCTTCTGTTTTGAGATCTTTATCATACCTTGAATGTATTTGCACATATGAAAACCAATTCATCTTTATACCTTGTTCCTCTAGATTTTGCAGTTCACCCTTTTCATTCAATATTTCCCCATATCTAACTGTTTGTTCCTTCTTATATATTATAGGATAAGAAAACGCTTCTATAGTCGATAACCAGACTGGAATTTTCAAATAACATTGTCTTTTAATCTTCTCCCAATTTAACCACAAAGACTCCCGTATCTGGTGTTTTCTAATTCCATTCAGTATTTTTATGGTAGATTTAAACAGCCCTCAGTTTGAAACCATCCACGTCTTACTTAGAGCATAATGGATGCCTTTGCATTTAGATAACACAGTAAAATTGCCTTTCTAAAATGTTGATAGCAGATGGTTTCTTAAAAGTTCCAGAAGGGATAGAGAGAAATTACTTGGATATTTGTCAGAAAGGGGAGGCAGAATGGCACAATAGAATAAAACAAGGAGATAAAAAAGATGAATAAAAACTAAGAGATCTCCTTAATATTTTTGAACAAAATATTAAGTCGATCTTAGTTTTTATTCATATTTTGGAACTAGGAATTGGCATAACTTCACAAGCAAAACTTACTTTATCCCTGTATAATTAAACCGATTTAAGAAGAAAACAGTAATAGGAAGTAGTACTTCTTCATTTCTATTCTGAATGCAGCTCTCTGAGCACTACAGAAATACTACCAGCAAAGCATATGCATGCTGACGTCTCTTCCACGTTATTGGTCAAGGGGTAGGACTGTCAGAAATAAAAACTCAATTTCCCAGCATGCAACAAGGGACTGTGAAACGAAAACTTATCGGCTAGAGAATTTCCCCTTCGTTTCCTTAATGAAAAAACAGCTCTCTCCGGATCATGGAATCAGGCAGTCAAGAAATCAGGTAGATATATATATGATTTGGCAATAATTGATTTGCAAATCTTACTTAAGTACAAGACGTGCTTCTAAAAGAATCCAAATAATTATTAATTCTGAAATGCTAGTTTGAATTCATGCAGAAATTAAAACTACATACTTAGAGAGCTGGGAATAAAAACATAGATGGAATAATACATTTATTAATATTATATAATAAATAATATAATTATACTAGCGAGTAAAAGTGAAGGAGTTCCAGAAATACAAAATCAGTCACATGACACTTGGAAAAGCAGAAACTGAATTAGAAAGTGAAACTTAATTGACAAATAAAAGTTTAAAATATAAACCTAATTATTGTTTAACCTTTTTTCAATACAATAGCCTTGTTGCAACATTGATTACTGCAGTCATGTGAATACAAATATTTTTGAAACGGGCTGCATGCAGTCATTTGACATGAAGTGTTGTGCAGATGTATGAGTTGAAGTGGTCCAAAGCTGCTTAGGGTGCAGAAGTTAATTATTTATTCACATTTCTCTATTTCAATCAATCTTATGCTTGGTAGCAGTGCCAGAATATTTTCTATGTGTGTATATAATGAAATCAGCACCTCTTGATTTATTTATAGTAGAATTAGTGTTACTTACAGTGAGAAAACATATATTTTACTGCCCTACAACAGTTTTATTTTTGTTTTGTTTGGCTGTTTATACTGTTTGTCCTCAGTGTGAAGATATATGATGCTTGTTTGTTTGTTTGTTTATCAACCATGTTTATATAACCACCATTGATCCTGGGCAGAATAAAATAAAAAACAAAAAAAGGTATTAAAAACACAATGTTAAAAACATGAAGTGAATTACTTCATTGCTTAATTTTATAAGGAGCATTATACCATCCTTGGACAAGTGTTTACTTTACTGGTTGAGCTGACTTTTGCAGGCTTGGATACTTGGGAATTGGAATAAGTAGCCAATATCTGCTTAAAGAAAATAATCCTTTTGAAAATTTAAAATGGAAACCATAAGAATGTCTTCGTTTAATTGACTTAAGTTTTCTCGGTCAACTGGCAATAAAGATTTCACTTTTTTGGAATAATATTGATAAACTGAAAGTAATTCATTCTTTCAGATATTATGTGTAATGTAGAATCCATTTCTAATGTAGCTGCTTAGTGTGACCAGTATGCAATTAATACAGGCAATTATTTCAGAACTTTCAATTATATGCATTAGAATAAGCTTGTTCTGTTCTGTATAGCTGCGGGGAAAATAATCTTTGTTTTTTTACTATACATTTTAGAAATGTTATATTTTCTTGTATAGTGTTCAAGATGAGACTGTGGATAAAAGATGTTTTAAGACATGCAAGCAAATTGCCTTTTACAGGTAAAGATTATGAATATTTTGTTATCTGAAAATATTGTATTCATATAACATCACAAGGTATGGCACAACTGTCACTGAAGAGCGATTGCAGCAATATATCTTATAGTGCGAAGTTTGCATTGAGGGGAACTTTATAAGGGCTACTACATCTGTGCTGCAAAAAAATCCATATAATCTCTACATGGCAGCAAAGAATATCATGTATTTATTCATTAAATTTCTACACTGCCCATTTTATCAATGTGATTCTGGATGATTTACAATGCAGATACAAAAAAAAACCTTAATTTTTGCTGATGTTTAGTGGTGGTCCAGTTTTTGGGTGGCCAGGATCTTTTAGCTCTAATTTGCTTCATTAATATAATTAATCCCTTTATATATTTCCTCAAATGCCAAAGCCTCCCAAGACAGGTTTTAATCAAAACAGCTATGAAATATACAATAAAGCAATTCTCAAACCAATATAAAATAATAACATAAAAGTATTTTTCAAACATATAGATTAGAAAGGGGGGAGAGGAGGAAAAAAATTTTCCAGCCTTCACACCGAGAAAGCTTTTGGTAGAAAGGTCTGAGCATCTGAGAAATATTATATCATTACAGCTACCTCAACAAAGTATAGTTCTAGTCTTCCTGTAGAGTCCGGTTTCTGATGTGATCTACCTTGTAGGGTTGACATTTCCTAGTAGTTTGCTTCGCACAGTGGCAACCGGCTGCCTTTTGAATGCTTCTAAGCAGGATATACAGACATATCTCTTCCCATCTTCATTAACCTCACAACTGGTATTGCAAGACAAATTGCAAGTTAGTAGTATACCTGTCTGATTTCACAAATAAATTACATGCCGTGGAAAGAAATTCTTCCTTTTATTCTTTTTAAATGTCCTTCCAATCATCTTCATTGGATAGTTCCTCTTCCTAGCATTTTGAGAAAGGACAAAATACTTCTGTCCACTTTTTCCATGCCATGAATTACTTTAAAACCCAGGTGTGCTTTCTTTCTAATCAGAGTGCCAGATATCATAACTGATGCTTCTAGTCAATAATCAGATTTCAGTTGCCCTCCCCTGCACTTTATCCGGTGCTGTTTTATTATTTGTCGAATAATCAGAACTCTATATTCCATACTTTTTTTTATTCAATTTGGATGGCCACCTATTACAAATAAAAATAAGATGAAACTATAACAAAACATGCCTTTTTTAATATTGATTTGAAATTATGTAATTTAGACCAGTTGGTCTAAATTTAATCAATTCTTTGAATATGATCGCATTCTCATCTATAACATGGGTAATATAAAATTTTATATTCTTTTTTGGATACATCAGGCGTCAGAAATGTTTATGTCCTGGGAAGTCCCCATACCAAGCCTTACTGCAAACTGTGGAACTATCCAACAGTAATGTCAAATTCCAAATTTTCAATGAAGATAGCAAGGTAAGAGTATCTCTCAGTGTTTGATCAAAAACATGGATGCCCAGTTTGCATATAAAATCAATCTATCTTTTTGATCTGCTGGATGTTAGATAAAAGGGTGGGATGCAAATATTTTTACTACTGTTCTGTGGGCATGGCTAGGTGGGCATGGCCATGTGACTGGCTGGGCGTGGCTTCTTTTTTTTGTGCAGCAAGACCCCCTCCCCCCGCTCCTTTTGTTTTTTTGCCTCCTGGGCCTCAGGAAAGCCTCCTGGGCAAAGCAGTAAGACAGCGAGGGAGATGCCAGCACATTTGATGTTGGAACAGCCGATTGTTTGGGGAAAGAAATACCGGTTCGATTGAACCAGTAGCTGTTTTCTTACTACCAGTTCAGCTGAACAGTAGCATTTTTTACTACCGGTTCACTCGAACTGGGCCGAACCAGTAGAATTCCACCACTGATTAGATAGTATGTTACATGATGTTGGGAAGTATTTAAATAATTTTAGCTAGTATTTATTTAGCTTTGAGAACTTTGCATGACAAAGGTGTGGGGCATGACAAAATTATGTAATTTTTCAAAAGCTTCTCCTTCCATAATTAATGTAATATAAATTATTTTATTTGTCAACCAATTTATTTTCACTCTTTCAAATGTTTCTGCCATGAAGCTAGGTAAACATACAGGTAGTCCACATGAACTTATTCAGCGACCTTTCAAAGTTACAATGGTGTTGAATAAAGGAGGTGGTCCTCAAAGTTTCAGTCAGAGCCCTCAAAATTCAAACACCCCTCAGACCCCCCTGGAATTACGAATGCCTTTTGGCCACCCACCTATCTATTACAGCCAACTGCCACAACACCTTGCCCACTCCATTGCACCCTAATGCTGTACTGACCAAGGTCTCTTTCATGTTGCTTTCTTTCACGCCAATGTAGACAAGATTCCACTTGCTCCCCATCCAGGGCCTCTAGCCGGGGCCTTCTTTCATGCCCTGCCTTGGTCCTTCTTTCATAAAAGAAGCCCAGCATGTGAAAGAAGGCCCCGTCTATGCTGGTGTGCACACCATCTTTTTGAAAGTCATTATTTCTCATCATGCCTAAAGCAAACACTATGGTTGGATCCACGTTTGTGTTAAGCCAGACAACAATTTATTTATGGGCTTAGAAAGTGGTGGAAACCTATATATTATGTCTGTAAGTCAAAATTTATGGGTTATGGTAGGAAACCCAAATATTAATTTGTTCAATATGGTTGAACAGATCATACAAATCAAATCAGTACTTAGCTCTGAAGTTAGAGATGTTTCTTAAGTCTACTAAAACCATGAGTGGTGCCTTCAGCAGATCGTCCTTTGCCCTGATTAATTGCAAGGTGAATATTACCATGGGTAATATCAATAGTCTAAAACGTTTCAATATTTTAATTATTTTTTTACTTATTTTAAAACTTGTAAGCTACCCATAATCAGTTTATAAGGGAGAGGATGACATAAAAATAGGTAGGTAGGTAGGTAGGTAGGCAGGCAGGCAGGCAGGCAAGCAAGCAGACAAAAATACAAGGCAATTCAATAATATCTATTCAGATTGTTGATCAACTGAATTCAGTCATGCTCCTGTTTGAATATGTAGAGGATCATAATATTAAACACTTAGAATAATGAATGATATAGCTATTTCCATTTAAGATGGTCGAAAAGCAAAGTTTTCAGTGTGAACTTTCTTGCTGAAAGCAGTTTAGAACGCCATTAGCTACAGTATTTCATTATTACTGATTTGCTTCTAATCTGTTTGGTAGCAAACACAAATAAGATTCTTTTCAGTAGAGAATTTACAGTATGTTGAAAGTGTCTTTTTATTATTTTGAATAAATAATAAAAGAATAAGAAGAAAATTGATGTTTTGTGAGAAATTGGTGTTTTGTCTAATATAGCATTTTAGTATTCTCTAATTCTTTTCCTGTGTTTATTCAATTACTAGGTAACTCTTTCAGTAGAAGTGTATGAAATAGAGGGCAATATTTTCAGGCTTAAAATTAATGAGGTAAATCCACTCAAGCCAAGATACGAAGTCCCTGATGTTCTCATAAAGGAACCAGCTAGCTTGAGGTAAGTTATGGGAAGTGATAGCTTAGATCAGATATAGATTGGAAACAAGTCCTCTTTTTGCCACTGGGGCATTTATGTAAGTTGAGTTTTAGCTCTCTAATTTAGAAAAGAAATATTAGGAGAATTATTTGAAGGAATATTGTGTCAGGTATTTTACTTCATATTGGCTAAATGTGGACCTCATATTGGGTCTTCATTCAAATAAATATTGTTTATTATTGAATAGTGCACATAGCTAGTAGGGTTTTGTAGGATACATCTCTGTTCTTCACGTATAGTACAAGAGTTTTTTTCACATTAGCATTTTAGTACCGGTATTTTTTTTGTCCTATTTAGCACCACTGTCATTTAAATTGCTTTAAATAAAATGAAATTCACTTCCTGTGATCTTAAAATAATATTTGGAAGGACCCACAGGAAAGCAGAATCTGGCATACTTTATTTAATTATTTATTTATAGTATTGCAAAAATGATCTCATCCACTAGTACAGGGGTTGCCAACCTTTTAGACCTCAGGGACCATCAAACTCATAATTTTAGATCCCAGGGACCACTAACCGGTTCTGTGAGTGTGGCCTAATTTGTGGGTATGGCTGGCTGGGCATGGCTTGTATGTAAATATTATAAATATTTATATAAATATTGCATTTTTTATGAAAAAGAGCAACTTTTACCCAAAATCAGGCAAAGCAGGAAGATTGAGTTGCTCACAGAATCACAGATTCGTTCAGAGATCTATCTATCTGCCATTGGCTAGCTCAGTCTGTCACATCAAATTTGCTTGCAAGCAAACTCACAAAATTAACTCACAACACACCATGCATGTAAATATTGAATTTTTTATAAAAAAGAGTAACTTTTACCCAAAATCAGGCAAAGCAGGCAGATTGAGTTGCTCACAGAATCATTCAGTGATCTATCTATCTGCCATCGGCTAGCTCAGTCTCTCAAATTTGCTTGCCGTGAGTCTGCACTGAATTTGCTTGCAAGCGAACCTTCAGTCCTAAGGGAGTTTTAGCTGTGTTGAGCCGAAGATCTAAAGACTGTCTAGAAAGCAAGAAATCCAACCATTTCTTGCTTCCTAGCTAATCTAAATCTCCCAGCACAGCAAAACAGATGATGGTCAGAAAAAGGAAAAATAGCAATTTAGCAGGCAAGTTTACCTGGTAAGGAGTGAGTGGCTAGGGAGGGTTTTCGCGGGCCATGTGGGCAGCGCAGCCTTGTGTTTCAGCGCAGCCTGGATTAATTGCTTTGTGGGGGTGCTCTGGGGGTGAAATTTCTCTGCGGCCCACCAAGATTTTCTCACGGCCCACCAGTGGGCCACGGCCCACCAGTTGGCGACTGCTGCACTATATGTACTGAGGAACTTTTGTTCTTTCCTTGTATTACAATTTATAATTTTTATTTGCTTTAACATATAAAGAGAAAAATACAGAAACAAAAAGAGGACCAACTAGAAAACTAACCAAAATACCCACATTATTAATCATATAGGAAACAGCTCTGTTATTAAATACAACATTTAAGCCTGGGTACGCTGAATAATCTTGGTCAGTCTTCCTATTCAGCTGATAAAACAATGCAAGAGCAGTTTTTCTGTCATAACCAAATGATTTTCTATCTATACTTCATGCTTAATTGATAGCTTTTTTTTAAAGAATGTTTAGCCATTCCCAGTTGCAATATGCTTTTTTCTCTTTTTAAATGAATGTGGCAGAACTGTCTGGCACATATATCCAAAGATGTAGGAATTTATTTCAGAAGTGCATATTAACAAAAAAAAAAGGCACCATGAGAGAGAAGGAGAAGGAGAGGGAAGGAGGGAGGGAGAGAGAGAGAAACACATTCATAAATGTGTTGAGATAAAAAAATTGATTGATGTTTGTGGAACTTAACAGTTTTCAGATTTGCTATTATTTGTAATTTGAACAAAAAAAATGTTTTCTTTACTCCAGTCTTTTTCCTTTTTCTATTTTAAAGGCTGAAAATATCAGAGAAAGATGCAGGCAAATTTGTGCTGATAGGTGCTGAGCAAGACCAGCAGATTCATATAATGGCAAAACCTTTTCAAATACAGCTTATTTCTAAGGATGAAATTTTACTGAGCATGAATTCCAATGGCCTGTTGTATTTGGAACACCTGCAGTCGCCACCTCAAAGCAGGTATGATATTACTTCAATATACAAAAGAAAAGGAGGGAAAAAAGGAAAAGGAACAAACGGGGGAAACCTACAGAAAGCAATATTAGTATCTGTGCTGATCTATCTAAGTACAGATCAATTATTGTAGGTTGGGATAATTAACATTATTATTCTAAAATATGTTTTTTGTGAGGATCTGCTTGTAATTGTACACTGAAAACTTTTGATTTTTAAAGGAAATCTACTTCACAAGAAAAGGAAAGTGGATTGGCAGACCCTTTTAAGGTACATTTAATCTACTGTAGATATATGGATTTTTGTCTGGTCAGTTTGTCCAAGGGACAAATCAGTCCTATGGTGGAAATAATAAGTTTTGATTTTAACATTATTTAAACAATAATAATATGAATCTGGAAAGGAAATGAGGCAGTTACCGACAGTTACGAACTAGGGCATGGTCTGAATTGTACAGTGATTTCATTGTAGAATATTGCTTGGAATTAGCTGTAACGCAGAGCTAGATTGGAAACTGATTGCATTATTACACAATGCTAAGTTCTGTTGGCTAGTCCATGACAGAGTTACATCTCTTTTCCTTTTATCTAAGGAAACTGAAGAAGATTTAGGTCACTGGGAAGAAAAATTTGGCAAATTTTTAGACATCAAAGCTAATGGTAAGTGGCTCAGAGACCAGTATTCTTTTTCAGCTCTGAATTTGATCAGTTTGATCGAAATCTCATCAGTTTTTATGTGAAAACTTGAATATCATGCAAATTTGGGTCATTTCCATTTTTGTAAAAGTAATTATAAAAATATTGTGGATCATTGCTTGCTTCCTTGGAATATTGAGGATAAAATGCTGCCAATGTTTGCCTGTTGTCTAATAATTGAAAATGTTATCCTTTCCCTCAGTTATACTAATATATATTTAATTGCTTTTGGGGGGGAGGGTTCTCTTAATTTTGATATGTTATTTGCTCAATTAATATAGCTTCACATTTCATGTAGTGTACATGATTTGGGGTAATTTCCAGAGTTGAAAGCAAAGAAACCCAGAAATAACCAAAACTATAACAATGACTATTAACATACAAAAACCTAATACGGGAGATCCACCTCATTGATATTTTTTCAGGCTCCAGTACTAGCTGATCCCCAGACCAGATGGTACAGCCATTTCTTCATACTCACATGCACAAACAGGTATTCACACCAGTCATGCAGTTTTTGTTGGGTGGGGGGAGGTCCTAGCTGGCCACATGGCTTGGCTCACTCATAGGAATCAATTATTGCAATTGCCTGTTTTATACTGCAGTTTAGATGGCTTATATTTAACCTTTGGCTGGGGGCTGCACAATCTGCCTTTGTAGATTTGGACTAGGTTGCTTGAATCCTTAAAATAGGTTTCCTTTCTAAATCCTCGTTCTGTGTCCTCACAACGAAACATTGGCACAATTTTTCTCTATATTATAGTAAGCCACAAAGAGCCT